CCACCGGTTCTTTGACTCTCGTGACGTCCGTTTCGACGAGTCCGTCCCCTACTACGTCAGGTACCCCTCTCGAGGTCTCCCGGTTCCCCCCCCTCCCCTCTTCCTGGCTCCAGCTCCTCCTCCTCCCGCCCCTGCTCCTCCGGTACCCCCCCCTGTTCCCGCTCCGTCTGGTGTGTCTCACGCTACTCCCCCTCCCTCGGTACCCCCCCAGGTCTCTCCTCCTTCCCCACAGTCGTCCTCACCGCCTCCGCAGCAGCCGTCGGCGCTTCCTTCACCGGCCACTGCGGACACTGAGGGTGTCGGTGCTCGAGGTGAGGGCTCTGGCGGTGCTCGCTCTGGGGGTGCTGGCGTTGGAGCTGTTCGTGCACCTACAGGAGCGGCCAGTTCTGGGGGTGCTGGCACTGGCGCTGAGCGTGCACCTGCCGCAGCTGCCCGTTCCGAGGGTACTGGAGCTGGTGGTGGTGCTGGAGCTGGTGGTGTTTCTGGAGCTGGAGAGTCTGGGGCTGGTGCTGGTGCTACTGGGGGCACCACGGCTGGGGGTGCGGGTACACCTCCTGCAGGTGCAGGTCGTGCTGCCGCGGGGGGTACTCGCTCTGGGGGTGCTCAGCCGGGTGCTGTCGAGGGCGGAGCAGGTTCTTCTTCGTCGTCTCCTCACGCTACTCCTCCTCCTCCTCACCCGACTCGCCACCAGGCCCGTCTTCGTCTGGGCGGCGGCTAAGAGGGTGGCGAAGTACCTTGGCGCGACATCAGGCATGGGGCTTGTACTTGGAGGGACACAGCCAGTTGTACTCACCGGTCACTGCGACTCCTCCTACGCCGACGACGTTGAGACTCAGAGGTCTACGCAGGGTTACTGTTTCAGCCTGGGTTCTGGAGCTGTTTCGTGGAGGTCTACTCGGTCCTCCTCGGTTGCGACTTCTACCGCAGAGGCCGAGATCTACGCTGGGGCCCTTGCTGCTCAGGAGCTACGCTGGTTGACCTTTTTGCTCACTGACCTTGGTGAGCGGCCGAGCTCTGCACCGACCCTGTTTGCTGACAACAGGGCGATGATTCTCCTGTGTCGTGAGCCTCGACTGGAGAGCAGAGTGAAGCATATCGACGTCAGGTACTTCCTCCTTCGAGAGTTGCAGAGACGCGGGCAGGCTCGTCTGGACTTCGTGGCCTCCGAGGCCAACACTGCAGACATCTTCACCAAGGCTCTTCAGCCTTGTGACCACCGCCGGTTCTGTCTGCAGTTGGGCCTCGTTGAGACTGGGTCGAGTAGACTGCAGTAGTGAGTGCTTGTCTCTTGTCTTTGCTTGTACAGTATATATCTGCATATACACTCTTGAACTGGCCTTGTGGCCGCTGTTTGCGCTCAGACTGTGTGGTGACGTTGTGATCCACCCTGAGCTTTGTTTTGTCTTTTGTTTGTGACTGGTCTTGTGACCTTAGGTTGCGTTTCTTGTTGCTTGGCATTCCCCACTTAGGCTATGGGGGTGTGTCAAATGTTATACCCTGTTGTGGGTCATGCTATATGGGGTACAAGCAGTTAGGGTTAGGCATATGTACCCCAACCCAATCAATGCTACTCATTCCGCTGTTTTCACTTACTGAGAATTACCTGGCGCGCAGGCGTGTTTCGGATATTGACCACCTTCCCCAAGGGGGGGGGGGAGGGTAGTGTAAGGAATTTTCCCGAATTCCTTATCGGGGTTGACTGCTTCGCGTACAACCCGATTTTCGGACTTCGCACGTCCGGCCAATTTCAACGCTACCGAGGCTCCTCGCGTCACGTCGCCTTCGGCATTTCCCATCGCCAAACCTGCACCCAACCTCGCTCGTCCGAGGTTCCCTCCTAGCTAGGCCAGCTCTACATTAGTCTGTGCATTCATTGTATTCTCAGTTCATTCAGTCACAGCCTCGTTATTCGTTTACCTGCGCACTCTCTTTTACAACTCATAACAATGTTGTAAGGAATTGTAATTCCTTACTGTACTCGCACTTTAGCGAGTACATCCCGAAGGTGTCGCGACGAACCTGTTCGGCCTAATTCGTCGCCTCGAACCACTCCCGAGTCGGCTCCGCACCAATCGCAACCATCACCGAGCCATCCTCGCCCTACCTCTTCGCCTAGCTAGGATTTCCCCTATTTAGTCGTGCCTTTCTCATTGTATCGTCATTCAGTAGTCAACCATTCTCGTTATTCGATATCTGCGCACTCTGACAAGTTCATTCATAACAAATGTATCAAACATGTAACTTCTGCAGGTAACGCAGTATAGCCTATAATTTTGCATGCAAAAGTGTACTTGCCTATTGACAAAAAACAATTGCACTCCTAGCACCCAAAAAACAATTGCACATACTTACAACTATTTCGAGTGTTTCCTTCGACGCCTCATATCCAAACCTGCATTTCCTACTTGCGATGGCTGACCGCGGATCTGACTGCCTTCGCCCTTTTCCCCGCCCTTGCACAGCAGCATTACCTCGCTCGTCGTGCCGCGTATCACTTGATTCGCTGCATCCTTCCCATCTTGCTCTTCCGAAATCCAAGATTCACTGCTCCTAGGCGCTTGTGTGGGAAGCAAGCAGCTTGGGGTACTGATAACCAGGTTCGCGTGATGCTTATTTCGACCACAGCCCAGATCGCGTGGGCATCATCGCGTCGCCTTTCGACAATAGATCGCTCGCCACGTCATCCGCGCTATCGCTGCGCGTCCACTCGTTTGAGAGCCCTCCATCCGCTGCTCCAGCTGCCCACGAATCAGCGCGTTTCTCCGGGCGGAATGAACGGCAACGATACAAGCCCGCTCTCAGTTCCTATTGGTCGAAAAACATTCGCCCAGAGTAGAGGGCCTAGTGGGAGTTGAGAGCCTAGTCCACGGTCCGGCCGATCCGAACATGAGTGCGTCGCCGCCACTCGCTACAGTACCGTCGTCTCGCCAATGGCTGGTCCGATCACAAAATGTGCGAGCGGGCCGTTGAGACCCCAGGCGCCGAGGGAGTACTTGAAGGCTCGTTGTTCCTCTCTCTGCTATTCGCCTGGTCCTTTTTTTCAAACTGCTCCTCCTGCGCTACCAGCAGCAGTTCTAGCGGCGGCCACTGCTCCCTCGCTGGTCAGGCGTGTCTTGACGAGCTCCCAGCAGCCCGCTCCGCATGGCGTCCGCTCTGCGCCCCCTCGCGCTGCTCGCGCTCCTCCTCACGGCCGCCACGGCCGCCAATGCGGCGACGGTGGTGACGTTCAACCCCGACGGGTCGCTGTCGTTCGACGGCTACACGCTCAAAACTGACGGCACCGTCGTCGACTCCAAGGGCAAGCCCGTCACCCCCACGGAGAACGCCGACGGCTCGAAAACCGTCGCGAGCGTGTACACGGCATACCCCAACGGCACTCTCACGGCGCCGGGCGTCGCGCTCTACACGCAGCCGCCCACGGGGCTGACCGTTGGCACGACGACGCTGCTGTCCGACGGGTCGGTGACGGACTCGACGGGCATGCTGCTGTTCGGTACGGTGAACCCCGATAAGTCGTACACCGTGGGCGACGTCACGGGGTGGTCTAACGGTACCATCGTGGGCCCGGGCGGCGTGGTGGTCAACACCGGCATTCCCTTCTCCGTCGACCCCACCACCGGCATCGTCTCCGGCGCGCAGCCCCCCGCCGCGCCGCCCGCGCCTCCTCCCGCGCCCGAGCCGGTGGAGAAGGTGACGACGGTGATCACGATCAACGGCGATCGGTCGCTGTCGTTCGACGGGTACACGCTGCTCAAGAACCTCACCGTGCTCGACTCGTCCGGCAACGTCGTCACGCCCACCGCCAACGCCGACGGCTCGTACACCGTCGCGAGCGTGTACTCGGCGTACCCGAACAAGACGCTGACGGCGCCGGGCGTGACGCTGGTCTTCACGGACCTGATCAAGATCACGGTGGGCAAGACGTCGTTCTTCAGCGACGGCGCCGTGTTGGACCAGGACGGCAACCCCGTGTACGGCACGGTGAAGAAGGACGGGTCGTGGGTGGTGGGCGACTTCACCGGGTGGAACAACGGCACGCTCGTGGGCAGCAACGGCGCGACCATCCACACGGGGCTGCAGTACGCCGCCGACCCCTCCACCGGCATCATCTCCACCCTCACGCCCTCGCCGCCGCCCGCGCCCTCCTCCCCGCCTGCTCCCAAACCTGCCGGTGAGTTTGATCTCGAGGCAAGCGGTTCAGGTCGCTGCATTGTAAGAGTGACGAACATGTACAAAGTTCCTTCCTGGTTACGGGTTCCAACTGTCAACATGTGCACTCCATGTCAGCAATGTATATCACAGGTTGATTCGCATTTGCCTTCCCCCTCCTGTTCACCTTCTCCCCCTCACCCCATCCCCTTCCCTTCCCCGACCCCCCGTGCATGCAGCGTCGAATGCGTTACCCAGCTTCGTGACTGCCGTCATGGCCCTCGTGGCTCCATTCCTGCTCCTCTGAAGCCGCTGCCTGGAGGGAGGGGGAAGATTCAGGGAGTTTGAAGGCCCTCTTTATGCTGGCAGGGCAGAACGGACGTAGTTACGGTAGTCCCGAGATGAATGTTAGGATCAGGTAGTTTCTCACTACATTCGGTTTTGCCACTTGGAATGGAAACTCTGATTTTGTCTTGTCCTGTTTCTTAGTCTTGTTGAGCCACTGAGGGAACCACAAGTCACCACCCCGCACCGCATTCCCCCAAATATGGGCTCCGCTCCCCCTAATTTCAGGCCTCGGGAGGTAAAACCCAGAACCTGGAATAAAATGGATTAATGAATACGGTATAGAAATGGTGGAGCCTTCAATACCAAAGGTAACGTATATCATAGATGCCGGTATGGAATAGATTGAAACAATGTGTTGTCACATTTTTCTTTTCTGCGACTCTAATTTAAACGAATAAATTGACGAAATAGAAGTACCTGTATGAAGATAGTCCTGCCCCCAAACAACCTCATTCATCACATAATTATGCTAATTGACGGGAGTCATTGGGAGAAGAGATCCCTCACACCTGCTCTTCATCCACAATATAGGAGTCACCACCCGCTGCCCCCCCTGCTCTCTGCTCCCCTCCCCGCCGCTCACCCCGCCCTTCCCCCTCTCGCCCTCCCCACCCTGCTGTTGCTGACCCTCCACCCATGCCAGCAGCAGAACCACCGGCAGCAGCCACAGCCCCATGAGAGGCACGTGGTTGAGGTTGTTGTGTGAGGGCAGCCCAGCCGTTGTGCTGCGAGGGCAGCGGCAGCGGCAGCGGCGGCAGGTTGGTGGTGAGCCCCACGCCCGTGGCGTGGCACGCCCGCGTCTGCGGTATGTTCTCCAGCGGCCGCTTCTCTGGCTCCCCGGGACACTGCGGGGAGAGAGAAAGGGAGAGGGGGAGGGGGAGGGAGTGATGTGTGGTGGAAAGAAGTTGGGACAAGGCACGGTGGAAGGCAAGGGAAGAGGAATGAGAAGAGCGCCTGTGGCATGGGTGCCCGGGCTCACCACTCAGACTAGAAGGCGGTCGTATGGGGTGCAGAGGAGGGTGAAGGTGTGACAGCCCGGTGCTGAGAGCAGCACAGGAGTAGCAAATACTGCACGTGCCCCTCAGGGCACAGAGTGCACACGAGACACAGGCATGGCGCCATGTGGTCCGGGCACGGCATGGCCCATGCAGGCCCGGACACAGGCAGACACTGGCAGTGCTGCGTGCACACACGGACACATGTCCATATGCCCCAACCCCCCACGCCCACATGCATTTGCACATATGATCTATGCAAGACTTCCCCTCTGCACCGGTATCAATAACCACCACACTCCCCAGTGTCCTCCCCCCCTCACCAGCTCGCCCTCCCCCTCTCACCAGCTCGCCCTCCCCCCCTCACCAGCTCGCCCTCCCCCCCCTCCTCACCAGCTCGCCCTCCCCCCCTCACCAGCTCGCCCTCCCCCCCTCACCAGCTCGCCCTCCCCCTCACCAGCACACACCCCCCCCCTCACCAGCACACACCCCCCCCCTCACCAGCACACACTCCCCCCCTCACCAGCACACACTCCCCCCCTCACCAGCACACACTCCCCCCCTCACCAGCACACACTCCCCCACTTTGTGCAAAGCAGCACTCGTAGCATGCAGGCGAGGCTACTTCTGAGTCGACTCAAAAGCCACTCACCAGCACGCGCTCTCCCACTCACCAGCACGCGCTCTCCCACTCACCAGCAAGTACTCCTGCACGGGGTGCACGTAGCAGGGCTCACCAGAAGGCGCTCCTGCACGGGGTGCACGTAGCACGGCTCGGAGGAGCCGAGCATGCAGGCGAGGCGGCCGTTGCTGCGCCAGTCGCTGTGCTTCCACTTGGCGACGTTCATGGTGTAGGGCGTCACCCCCGCCACCCCCGCCGCCACGTAGCCGAATGTGGATGTGTCCGTCACTAGCAACACGTCGCTGCCCACCCCGCACAGGGGCGCATGGGCGCACGGGGGAAAACAACCACCCATCAGTCGTGTGAGGGATGAATGTTGAGGGGAATATGGGTGTGAAGAGCAAGACGAGAGAAGAGCAAGTCACTTATGTGAGCGATCTTAAAGGTAGATGGGTGCGCAGAGATTTTCGAAAGCATAAAGCACGCGAGGTGGTAACAGGGAGGAAATGTGAGGGTGGAGAGGTGGGGAACTGTAAAGGGGGGAAGTAAGGCCGGAGAGGGGGTCGCACCAGAAGGCGAGGAGCCACATCTCAGTGACAGCGAGCTCATACTGCAACTCGTCCTCCTGCTTCTCTTGACCCTCGCCGCTCACACTGCCACGTGCAGCATGTGTGGGTGGTGGCACATGAGAGAGCATACGTGCATGGGGAGATGATGCATGGGAGATGATGCATGGGAGATGATGCATGGGAGATGATTCATGGGAGATGATTCATGGGGGATGATTCATGGGAGATGATGCATGGGAGATGATGCATGGGAGATGATGCATGGGAGATGATGCATGGGAGATGATGCATGGGAGATGATGCATGGGAGATGGTGCATGGGAGATGGTGCATGGGAGATGGTGCATGGGAGATGGTGCATGGGAGATGGTGCATGGGAGATGATGCATGGGAGATGGTGCATGGGAGATGGTGCATGGGAGATGATGCATGGGAAATGATGCATGGGAGATGGTGCATGGGAGATGGTGCATGAATGGTGCTGGATGGCAGGGTACCGTCACACCTGAATGGTCCATGGAGCGCACCTGAAGACAGAGACAGTGCTGCCGTCCAGTGGCTTGCCCAGCATGTAGCGGTCGCGCAGCTTGGCGCCGTGGGAGGGGTTCAGCGACACCACCAGCGCGCCGATGCTGCGCCCCCGCACGCCCCGCAGCGCCTCCTCCGTCACCTGTTGGGCGTGCAGGGGGCGGTGCACGTCAATGCGGAGTGGTGCATGGGGAGTGGTGCATGGGGAGTGGTGCATGGGGAGTGGTGCATGGGGAGTGGTGCATGGGGAGTGGTGCATGGGGAGTGGTGCATGGGGAGTGGCGCATGGGGAGTGGCGCATGGGGAGTGGCGCATGGGGAGTGGCGCATGGGGAGTGGTGCATGGGGAGTGGCGCATGGGGAGTGGCGCATGGGGAGTGGCGCATGGGGAGTGGTGCATGGGGAGTGGTGCATGGGGAGTGGCGCATGGGGAGTGGTGCATGGGGAGTGGTGCATGGGGAGTGGTGCATGGGGAGTGGTGCATGGGGAGTGGTGCATGGGGAGTGGTGCATGGGGAGTGGTGCATGGGGAGTGGCGCATGGGGAGTGGCGCATGGGGAGTGGCGCATGGGGAGTGGCGCATGGGGAGTGGCGCATGGGGAGTGGCGCATGGGGAGTGGTGCATGGGGAGTGGTGCATGGGGAGTGGTGCATGGGGAGTGGTGCATGCGGAGTGGTGCATGGGGAGTGGTGCATGGGGAGTGGTGCATGGGGAGTGGTGCATGCGGAGTGGTGCATGGGGAGTGGTGCATGGGGAGTGGTGCATGGGGAGTGGTGCATGGGGAGTGGTGCATGGGGAGTGGTGCATGGGGAGTGGTGCATGGGGAGTGGTGCATGGGGAGTGGTGCATGGGGAGTGGTGCATGGGGAGTGGTGCATGGGGAGTGGTGCATGGGGAGTGGTGCATGGGGAGTGGTGCATGGGGAGTGGTGCATGGGGAGTGGTGCATGGGGAGTGGTGCATGGGGAGTGGTGCATGGGGAGTGGTGCATGGGGAGTGGTGCATGGGGAGTGGTGCATGGGGAGTGGTGCATGGGGAGTGGTGCATGGGGAGTGGTGCATGCGGAGTGGTGCATGGGGAGTGGTGCATGGGGAGTGGTGCATGGGGAGTGGTGCATGGGGAGTGGTGCATGGGGAGTGGTGCATGGGGAGTGGTGCATGGGGAGTGGTGCATGGGGAGTGGTGCATGGGGAGTGGTGCATGGGGAGTGGTGCATGGGGAGTGGTGCATGGGGAGTGGTGCATGGGGAGTGGTGCATGGGGAGTGGTGCATGGGGAGTGGCGCATGGGGAGTGGCGCATGGGGAGTGGCGCATGGGGAGTGGCGCATGGGGAGTGGCGCATGGGGAGTGGCGCATGGGGAGTGGCGCATGGGGAGTGGCGCATGGGGAGTGGCGCATGGGGAGTGGTGCATGGGGAGTGGTGCATGGGGAGTGGTGCATGGGGAGTGGTGCATGGGGAGTGGTGCATGGGGAGTGGTGCATGGGGAGTGGTGCATGGGGAGTGGTGCATGGGGAGTGGTGCATGGGGAGTGGTGCATGCGGAGTGGTGCATGGGGAGTGGTGCATGGGGAGTGGTGCATGGGGAGTGGTGCATGGGGAGTGGTGCATGGGGAGTGGTGCATGGGGAGTGGTGCATGGGGAGTGGTGCATGGGGAGTGGTGCATGGGGAGTGGTGCATGGGGAGTGGTGCATGGGGAGTGGTGCATGGGGAGTGGTGCATGGGGAGTGGTGCATGCGGAGTGGTGCATGCGGAGTGGTGCATGGGGAGTGGTGCATGGGGAGTGGTGCATGGGGAGTGGTGCATGGGGAGTGGTGCATGGGGAGTGGTGCATGCGGAGTGGTGCATGGGGAGTGGTGCATGCGGAGTTGTGCATGGGGAGTGGTGCATGGGGAGTGGTGCATGGGGAGTGGTGCATGGGGAGTGGTGCATGGGGAGTGGTGCATGGGGAGTGGTGCATGGGGAGTGGTGCATGGGGAGTGGTGCATGGGGAGTGGTGCATGGGGAGTGGTGCATGGGGAGTGGTGCATGGGGAGTGGTGCATGGGGAGTGGTGCATGGGGAGTGGTGCATGGGGAGTGGTGCATGGGGAGTGGTGCATGGGGAGTGGTGCATGGGGAGTGGTGCATGGGGAGTGGTGCATGGGGAGTGGTGCATGGGGAGTGGTGCATGGGGAGTGGTGCATGGGGAGTGGTGCATGGGGAGTGGTGCATGGGGAGTGGTGCATGGGGAGTGGCGCATGGGGAGTGGCGCATGGGGAGTGGCGCATGGGGAGTGGCGCATGGGGAGTGGCGCATGGGGAGTGGCGCATGGGGAGTGGCGCATGGGGAGTGGCGCATGGGGAGTGGTGCATGGGGAGTGGTGCATGGGGAGTGGTGCATGGGGAGTGGTGCATGGGGAGTGGTGCATGGGGAGTGGTGCATGGGCAGTGGTGCATGGGGAGTGGTGCATGGGGAGTGGTGCATGGGGAGTGGTGCATGGGGAGTGGTGCATGGGGAGTGGTGCATGGGGAGTGGTGCATGGGGAGTGGTGCATGGGGAGTGGTGCATGGGGAGTGGTGCATGGGGAGTGGTGCATGGGGAGTGGTGCATGGGGAGTGGTGCATGGGGAGTGGTGCATGGGGAGTGGTGCATGGGGAGTGGTGCATGGGGAGTGGTGCATGGGGAGTGGTGCATGGGGAGTGGTGCATGGGGAGTGGTGCATGGGGAGTGGCGCATGGGGAGTGGCGCATGGGGAGTGGCGCATGGGGAGTGGCGCATGGGGAGTGGCGCATGGGGAGTGGCGCATGGGGAGTGGTGCATGGGGAGTGGTGCATGGGGAGTGGTGCATGGGGAGTGGTGCATGGGGAGTGGTGCATGGGGAGTGGTGCATGGGGAGTGGTGCATGGGGAGTGGTGCATGGGGAGTGGTGCATGGGGAGTGGTGCATGCGGAGTGGTGCATGGGGAGTGGTGCATGCGGAGTGGTGCATGCGGAGTGGTGCATGGGGAGTGGTGCATGGGGAGTGGTGCATGGGGAGTGGTGCATGGGGAGTGGTGCATGGGGAGTGGTGCATGGGGAGTGGTGCATGCGGAGTGGTGCATGGGGAGTGGTGCATGGGGAGTGGTGCATGGGGAGTGGTGCATGGGGAGTGGTGCATGGGGAGTGGTGCATGGGGAGTGGTGCATGGGGAGTGGTGCATGGGGAGTGGTGCATGGGGAGTGGTGCATGGGGAGTGGTGCATGGGGAGTGGTGCATGGGGAGTGGTGCATGGGGAGTGGTGCATGGGGAGTGGTGCATGGGGAGTGGTGCATGGGGAGTGGTGCATGGGGAGTGGTGCATGGGGAGTGGTGCATGGGGAGTGGTGCATGGGGAGTGGTGCATGGGGAGTGGTGCATGGGGAGTGGTGCATGGGGAGTGGTGCATGGGGAGTGGTGCATGGGGAGTGGTGCATGGGGAGTGGTGCATGGGGAGTGGTGCATGGGGAGTGGTGCATGGGGAGTGGTGCATGGGGAGTGGTGCATGGGGAGTGGCGCATGGGGAGTGGCGCATGGGGAGTGGCGCATGGGGAGTGGCGCATGGGGAGTGGCGCATGGGGAGTGGCGCATGGGGAGTGGCGCATGGGGAGTGGCGCATGGGGAGTGGTGCATGGGGAGTGGTGCATGGGGAGTGGTGCATGGGGAGTGGTTCATGGGGAGTGGTGCATGGGGAGTGGTGCATGGGGAGTGGTGCATGGGGAGTGGTGCATGGGGAGTGGTGCATGGGGAGTGGTGCATGGGGAGTGGTGCATGGGGAGTGGTGCATGGGGAGTGGTGCATGGGGAGTGGTGCATGGGGAGTGGTGCATGGGGAGTGGTGCATGGGGAGTGGTGCATGGGGAGTGGTGCATGCGGAGTGGTGCATGGGGAGTGGTGCATGCGGAGTGGTGCATGGGGAGTGGTGCATGGGGAGTGGTGCATGGGGAGTGGTGCATGGGGAGTGGTGCATGGGGAGTGGTGCATGGGGAGTGGTGCATGGGGAGTGGTGCATGGGGAGTGGTGCATGGGGAGTGGTGCATGGGGAGTGGTGCATGGGGAGTGGTGCATGGGGAGTGGTGCATGGGGAGTGGTGCATGGGGAGTGGTGCATGGGGAGTGGTGCATGGGGAGTGGTGCATGGGGAGTGGTGCATGGGGAGTGGTGCATGGGGAGTGGTGCATGGGGAGTGGTGCATGGGGAGTGGTGCATGGGGAGTGGCGCATGGGGAGTGGCGCATGGGGAGTGGCGCATGGGGAGTGGCGCATGGGGAGTGGCGCATGGGGAGTGGCGCATGGGGAGTGGCGCATGGGGAGTGGCGCATGGGGAGTGGCGCATGGGGAGTGGCGCATGGGGAGTGGCGCATGGGGAGTGGTGCATGGGGAGTGGTGCATGGGGAGTGGTGCATGGGGAGTGGTGCATGGGGAGTGGTGCATGGGGAGTGGTGCATGGGGAGTGGTGCATGGGGAGTGGTGCATGGGGAGTGGTGCATGGGGAGTGGTGCATGCGGAGTGGTGCATGGGGAGTGGTGCATGCGGAGTGGTGCATGCGGAGTGGTGCATGGGGAGTGGTGCATGGGGAGTGGTGCATGGGGAGTGGTGCATGGGGAGTGGTGCATGGGGAGTGGTGCATGGGGAGTGGTGCATGGGGAGTGGTGCATGGGGAGTGGTGCATGGGGAGTGGTGCATGGGGAGTGGTGCATGGGGAGTGGTGCATGGGGAGTGGTGCATGGGGAGTGGTGCATGGGGAGTGGTGCATGGGGAGTGGTGCATGGGGAGTGGTGCATGGGGAGTGGTGCATGGGGAGTGGTGCATGGGGAGTGGCGCATGGGGAGTGGCGCATGGGGAGTGGCGCATGGGGAGTGGCGCATGGGGAGTGGCGCATGGGGAGTGGCGCATGGGGAGTGGCGCATGGGGAGTGGCGCATGGGGAGTGGCGCATGGGGAGTGGCGCATGGGGAGTGGCGCATGGGGAGTGGCGCATGGGGAGTGGCGCATGGGGAGTGGTGCATGGGGAGTGGTGCATGGGGAGTGGTGCATGGGGAGTGGTGCATGGGGAGTGGTGCATGGGGAGTGGTGCATGGGGAGTGGTGCATGGGGAGTGGTGCATGGGGAGTGGTGCATGGGGAGTGGTGCATGGGGAGTGGTGCATGGGGAGTGGCGCATGGGGAGTGGTGCATGGGGAGTGGCGCATGGGGAGTGGTGCATGGGGAGTGGTGCATGGGTAGTGGTGCATGCGGAGTGGTGCATGGGGAGTGGTGCATGCGGAGTGGTGCATGGGGAGTGGTGCATGGGGAGTGGTGCATGGGGAGTGGTGCATGGGGAGTGGTGCATGGGAGTGGTGCATGGGGAGTGGTGCATGGGGAGTGGTGCATGGGGAGTGGTGCATGGGGAGTGGTGCATGGGGAGTGCACGGAAGCACCTCAAGGGTGCCCCCTCGCCTCCGCATGGGATAGGGCGACACCACCAGCGCGCCGATATGCACCCGCACGTGCAGTAGCGCCTCCCTCGTCACGTGCAACATGCACGAGCGGTGGATAGTGGTCCCAGGGGGTGGTGCACGTTAGTGTGGTGTGGTGCATGGGAGTGTATGACGGTCACTGGTGCACATGGGTGTGCTGAGGCTCGATAATGGAGCGCCTCAGGGGTGCCCTTTTCCTCGCATGGGATGGGTCTCGTTCACTGCACTTTGTTTGCACACTTGCATGCAAAGCAAAGGCCGATTGAGCGAGATGGAACAACAGAGGCCAATGTTCCCTATGCCATTACAAGAGCTGTCTATTTAACGAGTCGCTCACAGAGGCAGCGGTATGGCGCCATTGGTCGGTGGGCATGACAGGTGGCAGCACTCTGGCGATGTTGGTGGCACACTCAAAGACATTCACCATCAGATCCTCCTCTGTCTCCTCGAATGCCCGGATCTGACTTGGGCACACATGGGCACACATGGGCACACATGGGCACACATGGGCACACATGGGCACACATGGGCACACATGGGCACACATGGGCACACATGGGCACACATGGGCACACATGGGCACACATGGGCACACATGGGCACACATGGGCACACATGGGCACACATGGGCACACATGGGCACACATGGGCACACATGGGCACACATGGGCACACATGAGCACACATGGGCACACATGGACACACATGCACACATGCACACATGCACACACACATGCACACATGCACACACATGGACACACATGGACACACATGCACACACATGCACACACATGCACACACATGCACACACATGCACACACATGCACACACATGCACACACATGCACACACACATGCACATGCACACACATGCACACACATGCACACACATGCACGCACATGCACACACATGCACACACATGCACACATGCACACACATGCACACACATGCACACACATGCACACACATGCACACATGCACACACACATGCACACACACATGCACATGCACACACATGCACACACATGCACACACATGCACACACATGCACACATGCACACATGCACACACACATGCACACACATGCACACACATGCACACACATGCACACACATGCACACATGCACACACACATGCACACATGCACACACATGCACACACATGCACACACATGCACACACATGCACACACATGCACACATGCACACACACATGCACACAAGTTCACATACAACCACACACGCACACACATTCACACAGGCAGACACAGACACACAGATACGCACACACATGCACACACGCGCGCACATGCACACACACGCGCACATGCACACACACATGCACACGTACAGACGTGGTGAATACATGTACACTCAATGCATACTTCCCACCCTCCTTTCCTGTCTACTTTCCCCTACCCCCATTCCCCTTGTCGTTCCCCTTCTCACAAACCTCCCATCCTGTCATTCCAACACAATCCCTCCCACCCCAACTCAAACCCCCCTTCCCCTCCCCCACTCCCACCTGCTTTCCCCGCCTCTCCCCCTTCCCCTAACCCCTCTCTCCTCCCCAGTGAGCGGACCTGCAGCCCCACGGTGAGGGAGTGGTGGGCGAGGTGCCCGTGGTAGAGACGAGTGATGCGATCCCACAGGTAGTTGGCGGGGTGCAGCAGGTATCTGCCAGGTACATGCACGGCACACAAATGGCACACGCACGGCACACGCACGGCACATGACACGGGTGATGGGCAGGGTGGCCCTTGAGTGGATGCAAGAAGGGGTGCTGCAGGCCGTGGCAGGCCAGGGCAGTTAGGCAGAGATCACATGGGAATTGCATTGAACCGGGTTTGCATTGAACCGGGTTGCATTAAACCGGGTTGAGGTTGCATTATGGGTGAGAGACCATAGTGGTAGGTTCACATGAAAGCACCGAATGGAAAGGTGGGTGACGAGACGACTGACCTGGAAAGGTGGGTGAAGACTCGTCGATCGGGAAAGAGAGTTTCGAGCTGCACCTGCAGTGGCGGGCAGACAGGGTTAGGCATGGAGCGAGGGATGGGGCAATGAGCAAACGAGCATGGTAAGGAAAATATGGTTGGGCGATGCAAAGGTTGGGGATGGGGGAACATGTGGCGACAGAGAGAGGAGCAGGCAAGGAAGGATTGTTCATGCAGTAGCGATGGCCACATGCTGCAACCACGCGGCATGCCTCTTATCGTGGCTTGGCACAACAACCTAAGCTACCTCCTGTGGCAAGAGCAGCATGTAGCGAGCGCGGAACGTGCAGCATGTAGCGAACGTGCAGCATGTAGCGAACGTGCAGCATGTAGCGAACGTGCAGCATGTAGCGAACGTGCAGCATGTAGCGAACGTGCAGCATGTAGCGAACGTGCAGCATGTAGCGAACGTGCAGCATGTAGCGAACGTGCAGCATGTAGCGAACGTGCAGCATGTAGCGAACGTGCAGCATGTAGCGAACATGCAGCATGTAGCGAACGTGCAGCATGTAGCGAACGTGCAGCATGTAGCGAACGTGCAGCATGTAGCGAACGTGCAGCATGTAGCAAACGTGCAGCATGTAGCGAGCGCGGCATGGGGAAGCAGTGGATCCACGCACAACGCATGCAGCACAGGCAACGCGGCAAGTGGTGAGTTGGCAGTTTGAGCCACTGGGCACATGCAGACAAGCCAGTGCCGGTGCAAGTAGTGTGTGCGGCGGACCGGATGATGATGGCCCAATCTAGACCCCCACCTGAACCCCCACCTGAACCCCCACCTGAACCCCACAGCATGGACACCGTACCTGCACCATGTACCTGCAGCGAGGGCACTGTACCTGCAGCGAGGGCACTGTACCTGCAGCGAGGGCACTGTACCTGCAGCGAGGGAACCATGAACCTACACCATCCTACCTGCAGCGAGGGCACGAGGTAGAAGTGCGGCACGAGGAAGTAGTCGGTGTAGAGCGTGGCGAAGCGTTGAGGTGCAACACTGTATCTACGGGCAGCAATGTACCTGCAGCAGCGTACCTGCAGCGAGGGCACCACCCTACCTGCAGCGAGGGCACGAGGTAGAAGTGCGGCACGAGGAAGTAGTCGGTGTAGAGCGTGGCGAAGCGCGCCATCGCCATTTCCTGCTGCTCCGCCTCACAGAACATGCCCCACGTGTCTGCCTTGGAGCTAAGTGGTGGGGGGAAGGGAGGGGAGGGAGGGGGATGGAAAGTCACACCTTCAGTCGACTCAAATCTTGTGCAGCACAGCAGCAACCAAATCTTGTGCAGCACAGCAGCAACCAAATCTTGTGCAGCACAGCAGCAACCAAATCTTGTGCAGCACAGCAGCAACCAAATCTTGTGCAGCACAGCAGCAACCAAATCTTGTGCAGCACAGCAGCAACCAAATCTTGTGCAGCACAGCAGCAACCAAATCTTGTGCAGCACAGCAGCAACCAAATCTTGTGCAGCACAGCAGCAACCAAATCTTGTGCAGCACAGCAGCAACCAAATCTTGTGCAGCACAGCAGCAACCAAATCTTGTGCAGCACAGCAGCAACCAAATCTTGTGCAGCACAGCAGCAACCAAATCTTGTGCAGCACAGCAGCAACCAAATCTTGTGCAGCACAGCAGCAACCAAATCTTGTGCAGCACAGCAGCAACCAAATCTTGTGCAGCACAGCAGCAACCAAATCTTGTGCAGCACAGCAGCAACCAAATCTTGTGCAGCACAGCAGCAACCAAATCTTGTGCAGCACAGCAGCAACCAAATCTTGTGCAGCACAGCAGCAACCAAATCTTGTGCAGCACAGCAGCAACCAAATCTTGTGCAGCACAGCAGCAACCAAATCTTGTGCAGCACAGCAGCAACCAAATCTTGTGCAGCACAGCAGCAACCAAATCTTGTGCAGCACAGCAGCAACCAAACAAGCTGGATTGGAACCAGAAAGTGACATGTGAATGCTGACGTCACTCACTCCCACGACATGTGCATGCTGACGTCATGGCCGTCCCATCCATTGACGAGGCCTCGGTTGCGCGCCAGCGACTGGTGCACCGTCTGCGATATGGTGCTGGTCGGGGGGTGGGGGGGTGGTGGCGGGCATGTGAGGTGGGCATGTGAGGTGGGCATGTGAGGTGGGCATGTGAAAGACAGCGGTACGGAGGTGAGAGAAGAGTGCACCGTCTGGGATATGGTGGTGGGGTAGGGGGGTGGGGAGGTGGGATGAGGTGCATGATGTGGGGAGGGCATTTGGGAGAAGAGAAAGGAGGGTATGTGAGGTGAGGAGGGCTTGTGAAAGGCGGTGGTGGGAGTGCAATGCGAAACAGGTGCTTCCGTTGACGGTGGCCAGCCCACCCAAAGTGAGCAGAGTGAGGCCCACCCAAAGTGAGCAGAGTGAGGCACAGCTGAGAGCAGAGTGAGGCACAGCTGAGAGCAGAGTGAGGCACAGCTGAGAGCAGAGTGAGGCACAGCTGAGAGCAGAGTGAGGCACAGCTGAGAGCAGAGTGAGGCACAGCTGAGAGAAGAGTGAGGCACAGCTGAGAGCAGAGTGAGGCACAGCTGAGAGCAGAGTGAGGCACAGCTGAGAGCAGAGTGAGGCACAGCTGAGAGCAGAGTGAGGCACAGCTGAGAGCAGAGTGAGGCACAGCTGAGAGCAGAGTGAGGCACAGCTGAGAGCAGAGTGAGGCACAGCTGAGAGCAGAGTGAGGCACAGCTGAGAGCAGAGTGAGGCACAGCTGAGAGCAGAGTGAGGCACAGCTGAGAGCAGAGTGAGGCACAGCTGAGAGCAGAGTGAGGCACAGCTGAGAGCAGAGTGAGGCACAGCTGAGAGCAGAGTGGTTGCATGCATGCATGGTGACTCACTTGTAGGCGTCGAGGGGGATGGTCCAGGAGGAGCCGGGGAAGGGTTCACAGAAGAAGCGGAAGAGGAAGGAGTCGGGCGGGATGATGAGCGCGCGGTTCGTCAGCAGTGCATAGGCGAAGGCCGAGATGAGCGCCATTATGCGGTTGCCCATGCCTGCACAGCACACAACACATGGACCAGGGGAGGCCACGGCACAGAAGGAGTCGGGTGGAAAGAGTCGGGTGGAATGATGAGCGCGCGGTTGGTGAGCAGCGCGTAGGCGAAGGCCGAGATGAGCCCCATTATGCGGTTGCCCATGCCTGCAGGCGTGTAGCAGGGGAGACCAGGGCACACAGGTGGAGAGAGGGTGGGTTGAGTTGAGGTGCACACATAATGCCCGCTCACAGCGATGGCATGCCCGCTCACAGCGATGGCATGCCCGCTCACAGCGATGGCATGCCCGCTCACAGCAATGGCATGCTCGCTCACAGCGATGGCATGCCCGCTCACAGCGATGGCATGCCCGCTCACAGCAATGGCATGCTCGCTCACAGCGATGGCATGCCCGCTCACAGCGATGGCATGCCCGCTCACAGCAATGGCATGCTCGCTCACAGCGATGGCATGCCCGCTCACAGCGATGGCATGCCCGCTCACAGCAATGGCATGCTCGCTCACAGCGATGGCATGCCCGCTCACAGCGATGGCATGCCCGCTCACAGCGATGGCATGCCCGCTCACAGCGATGGCATGCCCGCTCACAGCAATGGCATGCCTGCCTTGGACGGGCCTCACCTGCGTTATCACACCCTTCTCCCCTGCACTGCACTCCCTCTTCCACTCTTCCATTCCCTGTGCACCCACCTCACCAACCACCCTTGCATCTGCAAATACTTGGTGTTCTTGTGCGGACTATGGTGGTTGGTGAGGCATTTCAGTCGCGTACCATGGTAGGCGGGCGGCATGAAGAAGAGATACTTGCAATTCCCCAGCCCATCAACGCCATCCTTCCACCCCATGTACCTGCACCCACACGGTGATTGGTGGCGCCGCCATGGGAGACAGGCAGAGGCGTGGATATGAACGGCAGAGACACGGAATAGGAATGGCAGAGGGATGGAATAGGAACGGCAGGAGGATGGAATAGGAATGGCAGAGGCATGGAACAGGAATGGCAGAGGGATCGAATAGGAATGGCATAGGCATGGAATAGGAATGGCATAGGCATGGAATAGGAATGGCAGAGGCATGGAATAGGAAGGCATAGGCATGGAATAGGAATGGCATAGGCATGGAACAGGAATGGCATAGGCACGGAATAGGAATGGAATAGGCATGGCAAGAAAGGTGCTTGCGAGGAACATGGGTTGCAGAGTGCAAGGCTGTTGGAAGGCTCACGGGCTGCGGTAGAAGGCGAGCCAGTCGTGGATCTGCGTGCAGCGGCGGTGCATCCGACGGTACTCCGACAGACGCCGCCTCAACGCCATTGATGGCGGCAGCTGGCGGTCGGGACGCTGTGGTGCACATAGGGAGAGAGGAGGGGGGAGAAGAGGTTGCCAGTTAGATAGAAGGGCAGGGCGAAGCCGTGCTAGAGTGAGGCTCGTAACCAACGGTATGTGGGAATGGGATGCAGAGCGAGGCAGCAGTGGAAGACGGGGAAAAGAGGTGAAGAGGAACAAGAGAAACAGGAAGGAACAACGTGAAATACATGCATGTCACCGTGAAATACATGCATCTCACCGTGACATACATGCATCTCACCGTGACATACATGCATCTCACCGTGACATACATGCATCTCACCGTGACATACATGCATCTCACCGTGACATACATGCATCTCACCGTGACATACATGCATCTCGTCGCGACATACATGCATCTCACCGTGACATACATGCATCTCACCGTGACATACATGCATCTCACCGTGACATACATGCATCTCACCGTGACATACATGCATCTCACCGTGACATACATGCATCTCACCGTGACATACATGCATCTCACCGTGACATACATGTGCATCTCCCATTTGCTCCAGCATCTGTCCCCTGCCGGCCGCGTGTGCCGTTTAACTCCGTCCACCCACACCCCAGGGCCCGCCATGCCGCCACGCGCGCCCACGTGCATGCGCTCACGCCCATCGCTGCTGCCGTCCTCGTACCTGCCACCGCCCCCCTCACTGCCTTGCCCATCCGCCAGCCTGCGACGCCCAACCGCGCCTCGCCTGCCTTCCCCTCGCCTGCGCGCCTCTCCGCCCACTGAACCTCCTCGTTCCTCTCCGCCCACTGAACCTCCTCGTTCCTCTCCGCCCACTGAACCTCCTCGTTCCTCTCCGCCCACTGAACCTCCTCGTTCCTCTCCGCCCACTGAACCTCCTCGTTCCTCCGCCAACTCCCTTCCCTGGGACGCTTCCCACCTCCCCTCCCGCTTCCGCTCCCCCTGCAATTCCCGCCGCGCGCCCCTTGGCGACCGCCCTCGCGTCCCCCCCTCGTCGCCGCCACGCGCACGCTGCTGTGAGTGCCGCCCCGACAACCATCCGCCCACATCGTCGCGGTCAGCGCCTTCACTCTCGCCGTCACCTCCGTCAATGTCACCTCCGTCACCGTCACCGTCATCGTCACCTCCGTCACTGTCATCGCGTTCGAGTGAGGCCCCAACCACACGATCGCTCATTCCATCTCCCCACGTGTCGAACCCATACCCTCTCCAAGCCTCGGCGTTCCCACCCGAACCATTTCGCCGCCATGCCCCAACCAGCTCGCCCGCTCCCGCCCTCGCTAAAGCCCCGCTCACGACGGGACCGTCACCAGCGGCGGCAGCGGCGGCGGCGAAAATCAGCAGCGCCGCCGCAACGCGCGCGACAGCCGCTGTCGACCGGCGAGTGGAGGTCGGCCCCGATGGCGCCATGGGGTAGCGCGGGCGTAGCGCGAGAGATGCGCACCTCACAAGAATTCTGGCCCTCAAAAAGTAGCATACTTTGAGGTATCCTAGGTGGGTTATCTAAAAACCTGGCCAATCATGCAGGGATCTTTGCTACGAAAGTTGGGTTTGGGATGAGAAGAAAGAGGCATCCCAAGCGAAAGAAGGAACAGCAAGGAGCTGGCTAAAATTGGACGGGTTAGGAAAAGTATGACAATTATCGAATTTTTCAGTTCTGGACCTCAGCTGAACACGCCCTCAGTCTCTGCTCCGCGACCCATTTCTGCTCGCTCACTCGCCGTACGAATTAACGAGCGTGCTGTTATTGTCACGTTGATATCGTGGCGAGCTCGGCGAACGCAGGCGAATGTGGGCTGAAGAGAAGTGGGCTGCTACAGTAGTACGTGCTGACGTCTATCGAGGCGAGGGTAGCTTTATTACCGGGAAATTATACGGGAAGTCACAATTTTCCCCGTTTTATCACGTTTGGTCACAGGGGTATCACAAACAGTCACAGTACAGTAGATTTCTATCGCGGGTGATCACAGTGCTATCACGGATGGTCACACCTTGCCCCGAAAAGCTATCACGTTTGGTCACTCGATGTAACGAGTATAACTTATTTGAAACCACAAAAGAAACTGTAGAGATTTGGGGGAATCCCAATCTCGATTGCTGGTTACCCTCGCGCATGATTCTAGTCTGACATTTAGGGGACTGAAGAAAAAACTAAACCCCAAAGGATGGCACACCCTTCGGGAGGCATCAACCCTAAACACCTTGCGACAAGGTATTTAGGGTTGATGCCTCCAGAAGGAAATCCCATCCGAACGGGTTTAGTTTTTTCTTGGGAAGGAAAAATAACCTTCAAGTTTCAACCGCCTAAAAGCAATATTCTTAGGGTCATTATGCACAAATCGAACAGTGGACAATCCAACCGTGAACAATGCGCAACGAGCTAGTTTTCCGATGTTACCAATGGTTTTTGCGAGTTGACGAGAGTGGTCGCGAAAATATTTCGTAACTAACAGCGTCTCGCAACACTACGGACAAAACAGCGCGCGCGATATAAATTTCCCCTATCTCCCAACAGTTACTTTAGTAGTTACATTAATTAATTGGGCATTTCATCTGTGACCAAACGTGATAGACTTGTGGGGCAAGCTGTGACTATCCGTGATAGCACTGTGATCACACGTGATAGTTACGAAGTGTACTGTGACTGTTCGTGATACCCCCGTGACCAAACGTGATAAACCGGGCCTAATTGTGACTAACTATATAATTTCCCTTTATTACCTGCCAGTCCTCCCTGATCGAGATGAGTGAGTAGTACGAGCCTTCAGTGACATCCCAAAAGTTACGGTGGGTGGTGACCTTCAGTTTCGCGAGCGTGGTCACTCCTTCGTCTTCGCGGTTTCGCCTATATGTAGTGTGCCGCTAGCGTCACGCGCTTGTGTTCGCGAGGTTTCATCTGGTTCACAATTGCTGTCGCAGATTACGTTGGCGACAGTAAGGCAACTACGTCAGGTAACATGGTAGGTTAATACGCAAACTTCAAACAGTACCGTTAGGGAACGCGCACTACATGAACGCAATACCCTAACGAGCACCTGTTTTGGAATATACAGGCACTGCAATGAGTCAGCGCGGGCAAGAAAAAAAATAAACCCCAGTCGGGGGCATGCCACCCGAGGGAGCCTCAACCATAAAAATTTAGGGTTGAGGCTCCCGAATGGCATGCCGTAAGCCATGGGGTTTTTTTTTGTGCCCGCGTGCAGCGTGCTGACTCGGTCGGTAGCGCTACCGGGCGCTACCGACCGCTACCGGATCTAGAAAGTGAAATGTATTGACGCTGATTTTTCAAGCTAGGGTTCTCTCCCTTCCCTTCCCTTCCTTGCCGCCCGCAACTAATGCTCACATATCCTGCTGCACAGCTGGCGTTTCGGTCCGTACATTTTTAGCTGAGATCGCCTTCCTGGAGTGTCCGGACACGGACAGCCCCAAAAGTGCATCTCTCTAGGTCCAACCTGGCAGCTCACCAACTCTTGTATGTGCGACTGTTGAGAAATTGCGAAACTTCTTGCCCAATCATTACTGACTGCTCGACTCCATCTACAATCTGCGATCGCAAATCAGCTGGTTTGACGGCGGAGATGTTGTACTGTACTAATTTGATCGTGTGGGGCCTTCGCACGTAGGTAGCCTCTGAACAATTGCGACGTCCAGATTCGTCTAGCCTCCACCTCATCACAAGTCCTATCCTCTTGCACGTGCCAAATGCACTTTTCGCTGTCCCCACTTCAATGTCCGGACACCCCAGGAAGGCGATCTGAGTCACCGATGTTGTTGAGACAACGTCACACTCCATTCACGTGACAAGCCTACCAAACCCGCTCCCCTTCCCTCCACCTAGCCGATCTCTTTTTTATTATTTATTATTTTTTATTTTTTTAATGCGATGTTACACTATGAAAAATGTACAAAGCATTGGCAGTCGTAACTGTATTCTTAGGGAAGTGCCACGGTACCGGGTATCGCGGATTCCATGTGATACATCTACGGTGGCTGGTGAGTCAGCTTCGGGTTGTCCCAGACAGGGCTGAAGCTGCCCTTCCACGTCAGCGGCGTCACTTTGCTGCAAATCCGCTTCATCACCACTGCCTCGTCAGCGTTTAAAAACGCCCACTCGCTGCTACTCACCACTGTGCCCCGCTTACTTGCAGCCACCTGCTTGGCCAGGCAGTACACTCTTGCATGCGCGACAAATTTGACCACCGCCAGGCGCATCACTTTCTTCGGCTGGAACCTGATGTCCCGGTTGATCGCGTCACATCTTGCAAGCCACACTTTGTGAAGAGAGGTGGCAATGAAAGAGCTCTCCGGAAAACCCGACAGCGTGCTCCTCTGCATGAAGAGCATATCCTCGAGCCCTTGCCAACTGTGCTGCGGGTTCATAGCGGCCAGTCCCTCCCGCAAGAACTTCACTACCTTCTGAATTGCCGGGCAGCCGATCAGGCAGTGCTCCGGTGTCTCCTTCCCTTTACAGTGTGGACAAACCACCTTGTTCCTCATGAAAAAGAGCCGCTCTCCGACCTACAAATTCCTACAGTGAAGTCGTAACAAAATTTCTCTTGCCCGGGCAGGTGTGGCGAGGGAGTCCCTCTCCTTGATGACCTTCTTCCAATCGATGATTCTCCCATCACCAATCCACCTCCTCTGCTCCTTCACAGTGCCAGCCGAGCTAGTCAGGATTTTCCTGATTCCTTTCAGCGGCAGCAGCTTCCCTTCCTCACAAAGCTTTGACTGAAGTAGTCTTGTCCTCGCCTCGCCCATCGGCCCCAGCACCTTGGAGCCCTGGGTCGCCAGCGGTTCCCCGTGCTGCAGTCCGAAGCTAAGCGTCATATTATCGCCTTCACATGCCGTGACCGTGCCGTCGCCGTTTTCTACGCATAGCTTTCCGACCACCCTGTCTCCGTCCTTGCCGCTGACCTTCCATGTCGTGTGCTTTGCAGGTCCCCTGCCTTGGCAGCGCAGCAACGGAACCTTCGCAACCACCTCCTCGCTTGTCAGCTTCTCCAGAATTAGATTCCTCCACTCAGCCGGCGCCGCTACGAAGGCCTTCAGCGCCAGCTTCACCGCGTCTTTACTTCCAAGTTCTCTGCTCAGTCTTAAGGGTCCGCCCACCGCTCCCCAGCCGCTGCACCAGGTCGCCCATCGTCAGCCCCAGGAGGCAGGCCGAGTCCTTCTGATTCCCGAACGACTGGCTCCCCGGAAAGGTATTTGCCGGTTGAACACAAGGCGTTCCCGTTCCGCTTCTCAGCGGTTTGTCGGCTCGGGAGGAACGCAGAAAGGTGAGTCCCAGAAAACCTGCGTCATTTCCTTCCACCGTCTGCTCCCATCCTTCCAGTGTTTGATCAGGGACTTGTGTGCGAAAATCGTGTCCACGCCTTGAGGCATCGCGGCTGCGCATTCGGTCAACCACTTCTTGACCGGGTTATCTTGTAGCATCATCCGCCCAATGTTCTGGACCGCCACACTGTCGAACCTCTTTTTGGGGCATATCAGCCCCAGCCCCCCCTCTTCCCTGGGTGTGCACATCAGCTCGTAATTCCAAAGTATGAAAACTTTCTCGTCCGTCGCTTGCCCCCCCACACAAATCTGTGGCAGGTCCTCTGGATTTTCGTCCATATCTCCTCTGGGGGCGGGTAGATATATGCCTGGAACAAGAAGATCGGTGTGATGTAGCCATTCACGATTGTGACCCTCGCGGATGTTGTCAAACGTTGCACTTCCCACTTTGCTAACTCCTTCCTTGCCCTATCCAATGCTTTCTCCCAGGACGGCAGCGGGTCTCCGTTCGGTGTTATCCATATGCCTAAGAGACGCTCCGGCTTCCGTCTATCAGCCCACTTATATTGCAGGTCCGGTGACGGCAGATTTCCTCTGTTCTTCCCCAAAGGAAACAGCACCGTCTTGTCTCGGTTTACTTTTAAGCCTGATTTCTCGCCGAACTCGTCCAGAACCCCTGCTGCTATCGACACCTGCTCCGCACCCCGCAGAAGCAGCGACGTGTCGTCTGCATACCCCAAATAAGCCAGTTTACCGACGTCTCTCCGGCCAATGCCCAACTTGCACTTCGTCAGCTCTTGGCACAACGGCTCCACCGCGCAAAGAAAAAGGTACGGGGCCAGGGGACACCCTTGCCGCACCCCTTTCTTAACCGCAACCGTATCACCAGTCCAGCCATTCACGTGAACCGGTGTGCCTGTCTCCCTGTGCAGTCCCTCCGCCCAGGCGACAAATTCCTCCGGGATACCCATCCTTCTCAGTGTACGGAAGAGAAAAGTCCGCGATATGGAGTCGAAAGCCTTACGGAAGTCAATCATCAGCAGATACCAGTCCTCCCTACCGCTGGCCCCTGCTTCGATGGCATCCGCTACGAACGTGACCGCGTCTGCCAGCTTCCGCCCCGGTAAGAAACCAACCTGGTCCTCCAAAATTACTTCGTGTAACACTTTTTTCAGCCTCGTCGCAAGAACCTTCGCTAATTTTTTATAGACCGTGCTGAGAAGTGTTATTGGCCTGTAATTCCACAGGTTCTCCTTGCTCCCCTTTTTGTGCAGCAGGATCGTGACTGCAGTTGAGACGCTCCTGGGCAGTTTTAGTGTGCGGGTGAAGTCGGCAGCGAACTGCATCAGAACCGGCCCCAGCAGGTCCCAGTTGTTCTCGAACAGCTCCTTGGGCAGGCCACCTGCCCCGGTGACTTCCCCGAGGCCAGCTCGCGCACCGCCGTCCGCACCTCCTCTTCCGACCACGGTGCTCTGAGGGCTTCCTTGCTTGCCTCACTAATGGTACGCTACAGTGGGTCAGACTCCACAGCCCCACCGTCAGAGATATCGTCGCCACCAAAGGAGTCTTCAAAAAACTCCGTCGCCACCACCAGTACTTCTCTTGCTCCGGTAAAGACTTTCCCCTTGAGCTTAACCTGGTGAACCTCCGTTTTCGCCTTTCGTGTTCTAACTTTCCCAGACAGAAAGCCTGACGTCGCCTCCCCGTCTAGCTCTGATTCGATGCCAGCCCACGCCTGCAGGTTCTCCATGTGACGCTTCTCGTATGCGTTCAGCACCTCTTCCTTCTTGAGCAGAATTGCCCCTGTGCGCCGACACCTCGGCTTCCGTGACAGTCTGCTGCGGAACACCTCCACCTCCCGCTCCAGATGCGCCTTAGTCGCTTTAATCCGCTTCATTTCCTCTCGCGAATAAGCCCTCAGACAGGACGACAGCCTCGGGAGTATGTCTGCCAGGTCACCACCAGCGTCGCGTAGCACCTGCTTCACCTTCTCCCTGACACCCTTCTTCTTTGCCTGCGCAGCCCTCAGCCTCCAGATCCCGGGCCCCTTTTTCCCATCCGCTAAAGACTCCAGAGCAACCATCACCGCGTTCCGGTGGTCGGTCATCTTGTTTGTTATCGCTTTATGGCGAGCGTCCACCAGCTTGCACAGCAGAGGCTGCGAGAGCAGCGCACGGTCGATTCTGGTGCTCACCCCTTGTCCTTTTGCATGGAATGTGTACTCCCTCTTCCCAGCATGCACATAGTGTTAGAATCTAGAGACAAGAATGAATGCATTGATCAAGAGTTGGGTACATAAGCTAACCCTAACATTGGGTTGTACCCCATATGGGCTACCCCACTAGCAGCCTACACAAACACAATATGCATAGTTTGACACACCCCCATAGGCAAAGTGGGGGAGAACAAGGGGTCACAAGACCAGTCAAGAGAAACAAAACAAGCTCAGGGTGGATCACAACGTCACCACACACACTAAGCACAAGCAAAGGGCCACAAGGCCTGTCCACATGCAGAGGTATATATGCAACAAACAAAGTACAGTGATCACTACCTAGCAAGAGCAAGCATGCAGGTATATATATATATATATAAAGATCACAGTACAGGCAGAGTCTACAGCAAGTGTGGAAACGTAGGCACAAGGCCCAACAAGGTACAAAAGCGCTGATGATCACCAGACGGAAGTGCCTTGGTGAATATATCAGCAGTGTTGGCCCGAGTGGCCACGTGTGCAAGACGAAGCTGACCACGCTGCTGCAACTCTCGAGCCAGGAAGTAACGCAGAGCGATGTGCTTCGTTCTGTGCTCCAGTCTGTGCTCCTCACACAAGGCAATGGCTGCCTTGTTGTCAACGTACAGAACTGGAGGAGAACGAGGCCGCTCTCCCAGGTCGGTCAGCAGGTACGTGAGCCAGCGCAGCTCCTGAGCAGCCATGGCGGTGGCGTAGATCTCAGCCTCACAACTGGAGCTGAGAACAGAAGACGAGCGAGTAGAACGCCACGAAACAGAGCCAGAGCCGAGGCTGAAAGTGTAACCCTGTGACGACCGCTGTGTAGCCTGGTCGTCAACCCAAGACGCGTCTGAGTGCCCAGTGAGGACCACCTCTCGCCGTCCTCCAAGCACGAGCCCCATGCCCGATGTACTGCACAAGTAGCGCAGTACCCTCTTCGCAGCATCCCAGTGCACCTTTCGGTGCCGACCAGGAGCCACGTAGCGGGCCAAAAGGCCAAGAGGGTACGCAAGGTCAGGACGAGTGCAAGTCATCAGGTACATGAGGCAGCCTACTAGCTCTGGGTAAGGACCACTCGGCTCTACGGACTCGTCCGAAGGTGGAGCTGAGAGCGAGTGACCTGTAGCCAGAGGAGTGGACTGTGCCGAGGACCAGGTGAAGCCGAAGCGCTGAAGGACCTGCTGCACCATGTGTGACTGAGTCAGAGTGATGGTGCGACGTGCTCTGTCCCGGGTGATCTGCAAGCCAAGGTAGCTGCGCAGCTCACCCAGATCTGTGCACGTGTGTCTCTTCTGCAGCTCCGACTTCACCAGGGCGAGAGCCTCAGTGTCAGCAGTGGCAAAGACCAAGTCGTCGACGTACACGAGGATGTAGAACGGCGGCAGCGAAGTGTCGGTGCGCAGAAACAGTGACGGGTCAGCTGTGGAGGGCGCAAACCCGAGAGCCGCAAGCGTAGTCCTCAGTGTGTCGTGCCACTCACGAGGCGCCTGACGGAGACCGTAGACTGGCCGGCGGAGGCTCCACTGGGTACCAGGAGGGAACGACCAAGTGAAGCCAGGTGGGCGGCGCAACCAGATCTCCTCGTGCAGGCTGCCCTGCAAGAAAGCTGTGCTGAAGTCAAGTGAGTGAAGCTCGTAGTCACGCTGGGCGGCAACGTGCAGCAGTACCCGAAGAGTGGTCATCTTCGGGGTGGGGGAGAAGGTCTGGAAGAAGTCAACCCCCTCTCGCTGACTGAAGCCTCGAGCAACGTAACGTGCCTTGAAGACAGGCGGAGAACCAGGCGGCCGCTTCACCCTGAAAATCCACATGCCACTGACGATGTTCGCCCCAGGAGGGGGAACGTCATCGACGTAGGTGCCTGTGGACTTCCAGGATGCCATCTCTGCGTCCATGGCTGCCTGCCACTGAGAGGAGTAGGGACCCGCGACCGCCTCAGCGTACGAGCGCGGGGTGGGGATGTCTAGTGCATCCGGGGCAAGCAGCATGGTCACGAGATGAGGCGCAGCGGCTGCAAGACACTCAAGGTCCTCGTGCCTATCCTCAAGGACGTCCGTGCTAAGAGCACACTCACCCCCGACGGACGGAGGACAGACAGACTCAGACTCAGCGACAAGACTAGTAGCGTAGTCTAGACGACAGGCAGCCGCAAAGTCAACAAGCTCAGCAACCAAAGCAGTCGCAGCAGCAGACTCAAACGAGGGGTCAGTGACAACAGTGGCGAGCAGACGCGTGACAGTAGGGTGCTCAGCACGAAACCGGTCGGACTCAGGGTCCGGAACGTGAGGCAAGGAAGACGCAGGAGGAGACGGCAGAGAAACAGACTGCGGAACAGAGGAAGGACGACGGACGACAAGGTGTGCGGTGGGGACAGGCGGCGAACGCGGACACGGAACACGACGACCGGTACGACTAGGACGAACAGGCGAGACAGGACGCGACGCAGGCTCACGACGCTCAGCAAGACTACCCGTCTGCTCAGTGTAAGGAGAAGGAGCAGGCAGCGGAGAGCCAGGCTGTAACGGAAGACCAGTAGACGACGGGAGAGTAAGAACCTGACGAAGAACAGAGTCAGGCAGCAGCAGATACGACGGAGACGGCGGAGCGAAGAACAGTCGTGGCGGCGCAGCTGCACCAGTACCGGCAGCTCCAGCAGCTCCTGCAGCAGAACCGACACCTCCAGGCCCAGGGTCTCCAACCCCAGTGCCTCCAGCAGCAGCACCCCCAGAACCAGTACCTCCAGTCCCAGGGTCTCCAGCCTCCACGTCTCCAGCAGCAGCACCCCCAGAACCAGCATCACCAGTCCCAGGGTCTCCAGCCTCCACGTCTCCAGCAGCAGCACCCCCAGAACCAGCACCTCCAGTCCCAGGGTCTCCAGCCTCGGTGTCTCCAGCAGCAGCACCTCCAGACGCAGCACCCTCAGCCCCAGCAGCTCCAGTACCTCCAGTACGAGCAGCTCCGGGACCAGCGACTCCAGCACCTCCAGTAGAAACAGTACCAGCACCACTCCTAGCTCCAGGGACGGCAGCAGAAGTACCTCCAGCAGTAGAGCCCCGGGCTCCAGCAGCGCGACCCTGACGGCGACCGTACCAGTCGTGCAGCTGCTGCGAGGTGAGAGGCACACGTGGACGAAGGCGGCTACTCCAAGGAGACCGCGCAACAGCAGACTCTGAACCCTCAGCGCCAGCACCCTCAGCAGCTCCAGCGCCACCAGCACCAGGACCTCCAGCAGCTCCAGAACCTCCAGCGCTAGCACCCTCAGCAGCCCCAGAACCACCAGCTCCAGCACCTCCAGACCCCTCACACGCAGGCTCAGCACCTCCAGGCTCGACACCCTCAAGCTCCGCACCCCCAGGCTCCTCACCCCCAGGCTCAGCACCCCCAGACTCAGCACCCCCAGAAGTAGCACCCCGAGCAGGACCACCCCCAGCAGGACCTGAGTCACCAGTGACCTCAACCAGCGCAGGGAAGGGAGGAGGGTCTACCTGAGACACACCTGAGGGAGCAGGACCTGGAGCGGGGAGAGGGTCGACCTGGGGAGCACCTGGAGCGAGGAAGAGCGGCGGGGGAGGGAGAGGGGCAGTGCGGTAGGGGAAGAGACGGTAAAAGGGAACCGACTCATCGAACGTGACGTCCTGAGACGCAAAGACACGGCGCGAGGTGGGGTGGTAAAACTGCCAACCAGACGCGTCAGGGACAAAGCCAAGGAAGACACAGGGAACTGCACGGGCGGAGAGCTTGTCCGTGGTGGTATCGCGGACAAAGGCACGAGCACCCCAGACCCGGAAACGCGACGCATCGCCAACCTTCCCCGTCCACAGCAGTGTGGGCGAGGTCTCCGGCAAGGAGACACGGGGCCAGAGGTTGAGCTGATGCGTGGCGTACCGGACCGCAAACGGCCACAGAAAATGGGGGGCAGCCGCATGGATCATGGAGGTACGAGCGACCTCCATGACTAAGCCAATGCGGCGCTCAGCAACCCCATTCTGCTGCGGAGAGTCCGGAAGCGTGAACGACTGGGTGATGCCGTGCTCCGCACAGAAGGCCGCCAAGAGGTCGGAGGAGAACTCACCACCTCTGTCAGAGTGCAGACGCAGGACGGGAAACTCCGTCCCGAACCGCTCGCGGAGCTGGAGACGGGCAGCGCGGATCCAAGGGATCAAAACAGCAGGGACCTCCCCCTTGCTGCGCAGGGGAAAGACCGTGGTGTAACGCGTGTAGTCGTCAACAACCAGCAGGAAGTACCGCTCGTGGCCCTGTCCACGGACGCGGGCTGGGCCCCACACGTCCAGGTGGAGAGTCTGCAGGGGAGCCTCTGTGGGAGGGAACGAGGAGGAGTGAGGAGCGGCGCGCTGCCGCCCCTCGACGCAAGGAATGCAGGGCGGCGCAAGCGAGGGAGGCAGGGCAGGCAAAGACCTGGGCAGACCAGAAACCAGGAAGCGAGAGTGCATGCCACGAAGGCGCTGCACCGAGGGGTGACCAAGGTGGTGGTGCCACAGGAGGGTCTGGTGCGACAAAGCGCGACACTCGCAGGGGGCCGTCGGCTGACGGGACGGAGACGCAGACGCAGACGCAGCTACCTGAGCGGACGCAGTGGTCAGGGTGTACAGACTCGAGCCAGGCGCACGGGAAAACGTGGCCAGGTGTCGGCCGGTCCGAGCACACGTGCAGTGAGTCACCCGCTGACTCGCAGGAGTGAACTGGTGCACCCCCTGATCCTGGAGGTCAGCTCCACTCACCAAGTTCGTAGAGAACGAGGGGAGGTAAAGACCTGATAGCAAGCCAGACGGGGCGGCTGGACACGGCAGAACCGTGGAGTAGTGGGCAAGGACTGGACCCCCGGAGGGGTCCGCCAGGGAGACTGCAACCGGCCGACTAAGCGGCGTGAGTGTGGTGCAGTCGCGAAAGAAGGAGCGGGAAGCACCTGAGTCAAGCGTGAAGGTGTACAAGGCCGCAGCAGGCGCAGAACTAGAGAGAGCAGACTCACCAGCACCTGGAGCAGGAGACGTACCGGCACCTAGAGCAGCAGCCTCACCAGCACCCAGAGGAGGAGACGCACGAGCACCTAGGGCAGCAGCCTCACCAGTACCGGGAGCAGCAGGTGCTATACCAGGGTCAGGCGGGACGCACAGGTAACAGGCACGGTCAACACTAGTAGGCAATGCATACATGGCAGTGAGAATAGCATCATAGTTAGGAGCAAAGATAACTACCCTCTGTCCAAGCAGCTCCAGCCAGTCGGGGAGCTCAGCCTCGTCGCCAAACACTGTACGCCAGTCGTCGCTCAGACGGGCGAAGCAGCGGGACTGTGTGTGACCAAGCGTCCCGCAAGGCTGACCAGTCCTATCACCGGTGCGAATGACGTACTGGCAGCGAACTGTACGCGTAGACCTGCTACACTGAGCGTACCACTCGTGGAGCTGCCGGGACGTAAGTGTCTCGCGTGGGCGCCGCTGCAGCTGCAGCTGGCCACTGCTAGAGGCCCCCAACTGACCAGCTCCAGGGCGACAGCTACGACGGCTACCACGACAGCCCCAACTAGTATACCACTCACTAAGCTGCTGGGGCGTGAGAGACTCGCGTGAGCGTTGCTGGAGCTGCATCTGGTCCCTTGCTAAGAGCTAGCAGCAGCAGCAGCTCGGGCAGGGCAGGCGCGGCAGGCCGGCAGACAGACAGGCAGGCCGGCAGGCAGGCAGGCAGGCAGGCAGGCAGGTAGGCAGGCAGGCTGACAGGCAGACAGGCCGGCAGGCAGGCAGGCAGACTGACAGGTAGGCAGGCAGGCCAGCAGGTAGGCAGGCAAGCCGACAGGCAGACAGGCCGGCAGGCAGGCAGGCAGGCAGGCTGGCAGGCAGGCAGGCAGGCTGGCAGGCAGGCAGGCAGGCCAGCAGGCAGGCAGGCAGGCCGACAGACAGGCAGGCCAGCAGACAGACAGGCAGGCAGGCAGGCAGGCAGGCAGGCAGCCAGGCAGGCAGGCAGGCAGGCAGGCAGGCAGGCAGGCAGGTGCTCACCAAAGGCTGGAAGAGTGAGTGCTCGCCGGGCGAGCAGGGCCGAGTAGGCGCACGACTGCAGCGACGGTGGAGCCGTAACAGCGACTGCAGAGTAGGGCCGCAGCAACTGCAGGGTGGGGCCGCTTCAGCGGCAGTCGCAGAGTGGGGGCCGCATCAGCGGCAAGTCGGGGCCCCGGGAGCTGCAGCGCGGGGCCGCAGCAGTGGAAGGTCGGGGCCGATGCAGCTGCAGGCTATGCAGTGCAGCGCGCGCGGCTGCTGTGGGCTGTGCGCGGGCTGCGGGAGGCAGAAGCAGGCCGCGCGCAGCAGCAGCAGGCCGCGCGCAGCTCAGCAGGGGCTGCGCGCAGAAGCAGGAGGCCGCGCGCGGCTCGGCAGGGGCTGCGCGCGGCTCGGGGGGGGGTCGCGCGCGGCAGCAGCGGGCTGCGCGCGGCTCGGCGCGGGCTGCGCGCAGCTGAAAAAGGGCCGCGCGCGGCTCGACAGGGCTGCGCGCAGCCAAAAACGGGCCGCGCGCGGCTCGAATAGGCTGCGCGCAGCAGGAAACGGGCTGCGCGCGGCTCGACGGGGCTGCGCGCGGCTCGGCGGGGACACGCGCGGCTCGGCGGGGGCTGCGCGCGCCAGATCCGGGCTGCGCGCGGCTCTATGGGGCTGCGCGCGGCTCTATGGGGCTGCGCGCGGCTCTATGGGGCTGCGCGCGGCTCGGCAGGGCTGCACGCGGCTCGACGGGGGCGGTGCGCCGCGATGACGGTGTGTGAGAGGCAGCAGAGCGGCGCGAGCAGCGAGGGACAGTAGCAGGCAGCGTGCTTGACGTAGGTCTGCGCGGTAGCAGCAGCAGACGGCACAGTAGGCAGCAGGCAGTAGGCTACAGGCAGACGGCGCGCGCAGCGCAGCACGTCACAGGCACAGGCACAGGCGTGGGGTAGCGGTAGGTGGGCCCGGAAAAAAAAAACGGTCCTACGGACCTACTGCTCTGAAACCATGTTAGAATCTAGAGACAAGGATGATGCATTGATCAAGAGTTGGGTACATAAGCTAACCCTAACATTGGGTTGTACCCCATATGGGCTACCCCACTAGCAGCCTACACAAACACAATATGCATAGTTTGACACATAGCGGAAAGCGTCCGTGAGAGGAGTGCGTGCCCAAAAACTCATCAGCCGCCGGTTATCCGCCGTTGAACCCAAGCCGGTGGATTTGTCGATCTCTGGATCCTCTACGACGTTTAAATCCCCCATCACCAGAAAGTTCTTCAGATCTGAAAGGGTGCTCAGAAACGGTCCCAGACAGTCTCTGTAAAAAGGCGCTCTGTTCTCCGGCTGCGCCGGCAGGTACGCAGCTATGAGAAGCAGTTCCAATTCACCCCACTTGATCACTACTGCTACCAGTTTGCCTTAGTCATGCAAGTACGTGCTGGAGAAGACCATACCGGGTATAAAGCTCAGCACCGCCACCCCACCTGCCGTGTCCTATGATGCGAAAGACGCGTCCTGCGTCCTGGACGCATGCGTCCAGACGCAGGACGCACAACCTGGACATAAAAGACGCACCAAAAGACGCAAGCCCGGGCAGGTAGAAAAAACCCCGGGCAGGCAAAAAAATAGTATAGGGCTTAGGAGAGGGGGGGGGGGGACCTACCACACTTTCAAGGCAAATTTTTCCACAACCACAAATTTGTCCCCTACAATTTAAGAAAGATTAAGGTGAGTCACACGTCACACATTTCACAAGGTTGCACACACAATAAGTTCGCTCCAACCAATTACGACCATGCATGCTAAACTACCGCTGCACTGCATCAAGTCAACCATCACACATCCGCCTCATCCTCGCTCTCCTTCTCCTCCTCCTGGTCCATCGCTTCCTGGTCCTTGTACTCGTCGACGCACGGGTCGTCCTTGTCACCTCACTCTCCCCTTCCTCCTCCAAGTTGTACCCCTTGGGGAGGGGAGGGGTGGGAATGTTACCCTCCACCACCCCCGCCCTCCTGACTTCCCCACTTGGCCCTGCTCCGCCAGCTGCACCCTGGTGGTGGCCGTGCACAACCTTCCAGTTGTGCGCCACGAATACCAGGTCGCGCACCTTCTCCGACCCCAGTCTGTTCCTGCGCGCCGTGTGCACCCCCTCCCACACAGCCCATCCACGCTCGCATGGAGAGGCGGAAACGGCCTGTGGCACCGCACGTCGCGCAAGGCCCGCCAGTTCGAGGTACTCCCAGCCATTCAACTTCCACCACGCCGCCATGTCCCCCTTCCCTGCCTTCAACTGCGCACGCCTTTTCTATCGCCTCCTCCGACCGAAACCCTCCACTGCCCTCAATGTACGCCAACATCCCCTCCTGCAGATCCAGCATCGTTCCCTCCCGCTCGCCCTCCTTCTTCCATAACTTGTCGACGAAAACCCTCGCGCGTTGCAGCCATGCCTTCCTAACACTGGTGCATTCTCTGTCCTTAAGGTAGATCCCTTCCTCCTGGTTGACCGGGTTAAGAATCCGGCCTACCACGTGAAGAGGGCAGGCCATACTCTCGTCCCAATGCCTCCTCGAGTGCTCCAGCAACCCCTGCTTATCCGCCTCACTGAGCTGACAATCCGCTCTCTCCAACAGCTCCGTCAGGTCCACCGTCAGCTGCAGCATCATGTCGTACACTGCCCCCATCATCCCCTTCGCTGGCCCATCCGTCTTCCTCATCACCTTGTACGGCAGCTCCATCACCTTCACGAAGGTACTTACCTTCTTCCACCACTCCACATCCATCACCGCCTTCTCAAAAGTTGCGCAAGTCTGCAGCTTCCTCCCCTTCTCAGGCCAGTCTGTGTGCGTCACCATCTTGGTCAGCTGCTGGCTAATCTCACGCGAAACCGCAATGTACTGCGTCCCAAAGCGTGTCCCCGACGGTCGCAGCGGTTGCAGCGACTTCGCCTCGCCGTGCAGCTCGGGACTCCGGAGGAAGGCACGTGTCCACGTGTGGCTGCGCAGGAACGCGATCATGTCGGTCGCAGCTGACACAACCGCCTGCGCCTAATCCATGCCGCCAAAGTCCTCCAACAGCAGGTCGAGCACGTGAGTGGCGCAGGGGACAAACTCCAGGTGCGGGTACTTCTTCTGCAACAGCTTGGCGGCGGACACGTAGTTGCTGCCGCCGTCCGTGCAAATCGCGACGACATGCTCCGGTCCAATCTTCTCGATCAGCGGCTGCAGGACGCTCACGATGAACGCTCCAGTCTTTGTCTCTGCCTTGCAGTCGACCGCCTCCTGGAAAACCGCTCCACTGGTGTTGATGCAGACGACGTTCAGCTGCGCGCGGCCGCTCTTGTCCTTCATCATGTCGCTGGCGATCGTCACGCCGGTCTCCTTCCACGACTTCGTAATGGGCGACAAACCCTTCTCGATCTGCTGCTTGCACGTTAGCAACCCGGCGCCTCCAACGTAGCCCTTCTTGAGGGGAACGTAGCCGCCTCCGGCAGCGTTAACGGCGCGCAGCATGTTGAGGAAGAGGGGGTGCTCGCACATGGTCTCCGCCGTGCGCGTCCCCGCGAGGAAGAGGCAAATCGCATCGCCCGCCGCCCGCTTCGCCGACATCCCCCCCTCGCCATACCAATCCTCCAACCGCCCCTTCTTTACCTTCGGACCCGCACCCCCTTGGCCGCTCACTGCAGTGAGCGCCTCCTCCAAAGCCCCCTCCTTATCCTTACGCACCGTCATCTTCGTTTCCTTCGCGTCGCGAATGGCGTCGGAAACGCTCTTAGGAACATCCGCGCACACAATCCCGCCATCGCGCCGCACGTTCTCGTCATTCCATACGGCGAGCGTGCATCGGCTACTACTAAAAGCGAAGGTTTTCCCGCACCAAAGGCACTAGCACTGATTCCCCTTCTTGGTCGGATCGTCGAACGTCCAAAAATGCCTATAAATACGGTGATTGGGTTGTTGCGGTTTTTTCTCCACCCCGTCCTTAGTGAAACGCTTGGGGGGGGAGTCCTCGTCAACATCAACACTCTTAGACACGGTGGAAGAAGAAGGAATGCTCGGGGAAGCCATAACGGAGCTTAGGTAGAAAGCTAAGCTAAAACCTCAAAGGGTTTACGAAAGAGAATTGGTTGGGAGGGGAAAATGAGAAACCACAAAAGGTTGCCTTGCTAAATGTGCTTGGTGGTGGGTTGCCACAATGGTTGGGTTGGGTTTTGTAGATGCGAAGTGGTTGTGAGGAGTGAGTGAATTTCCATTTTGCATGAGTTGTTAGGAAATGCTAGGGGGGCTGGTTTACAATGGCGATTTGGGCTGGGGGGGTCGAAATTTCGCGATTTCGACATTTGCGTCGAAATCGCGAATGTCAAAATCGCGATCGGATTTTTTTTTTCCGGTCTGCCCGAAAAAATTTTCGACGTGCGCCCTGCGTCTGGACGCGCGTCCTGCGTCCTAGCGTCCGGACGCTGCGTCGAGACGCAGGACGCAGCGTCCTGGGTGCGTCTTTCGCATCATAGGCCATGTCTGCCGGGGCAGCGAATGCCGCTAGTTTGAGCTGAGTCCAGAAATTGTGGTCCGCCTTAACTCTAGTGTCTGTGAGAACAACAATATCCGTTTTCCCTCGCAACCAGTTTCTACACTTGGTCTGCTTCCCTGCACTTCCGAGCCCGTTGATGTTGAGCTCGCAGAAAGTGATCGTGTTCTTCTTATCCATTGAACAACAGGTGAGAAGCCCCTTTGCATCCACGGGCTGGGGTACAACAGCTGACTCCTCTACACCATGGACCTCTAACTCCCACTACACCACTCCACGCAGCAGTAATACAAACACGGCAGCTCCTACGGTGAGTACTGACTGCATCACAACAAGTGCTCCTTCTCCTGAGTGGCCCCCTTCCCTGGCAGATTACTTCGCGAACTCCTTTCGGAGTGCGGCAAGGTTGATGGCTCCTTTGCTGGCGCGCGTAGCAGTACCCGGCTTTAACAGGTTGGTCTGGTGACGCAGCGACGCAACATGATTCGAAGCCTGCTCGAAACTGATGCCCTGGGCCTTGTCGCAAGCGGCAATCACGCACACCCAATCCTCTCGCGACCCCCCTGTGGAGGTGAGGACTATCGCACGGTCTTTGAGAACATCCTTCAGTTGCGCTGTGACTTTGAGCGATGCAGCTGCGGGGGGAGGAGCGAGCAAAGCCGTCAATGTGAAACTCCGGAAAAAAACACAGGATCTCTTTTTTATGCTGACGATGACTTCCCACAAACATGGCTGTCGCCTCCCCAGCAGGGCTGACGAATTAAGGGCATTTGCCCTTAATGCGCTGAACATTAAGGGTGAAGTTCAGAGCAGCTCGACCATTTTAAGTTCTTGATTCGCACGGAGCCCGTGACGGTTAAGGGCTCCATTTGGGTCTCCCCCTGAGTCTAAGTACTGATTTTGATTTGAAAGACCCCCCACCCCCTGCCCCCCTCTCTGACCCCCCTCATCGTATTCACGAGAAAGTGCCAGGTGTGGTGTGGGAGTAGTGGCAAACAGACACACTTTCCCTTAGCAGACGAGTGTACGCTCGATCACATTAGGCTAACACCTGAACTTATAAATTTTTTTGTCAACCTCAAGTACACTATATTCCAGAGCCCGGATTTCAAGTGTTGGCTTTGGCCTATGCATGTGAAAATACGGGCGCTATAGTTTTATTCTTACGAATGCTCAAATAAAGACCACTCTGGCTGAGACTAACAGTGCAATTTGTTGGGCTGAGATGAGCCCTTAGGATCTTTTCAGGGGTGAACTCTGGGTAGGAACCTTGTAATAGCGGAAGCGTTTAATGAAGAGTTTGTGAACCACCTTGCGCTAGTATGTGAGGGCAAAGTAGATTGATTATAGCAAAGAGATACAAGAATATTTATAATAGTACAAGGAATACGAAACGATACGGTTGTAACTAATTTACTGTTGCTGTTGCAGCTCGACACAGTACGACTCGGGCAACTGCTCTGTAACGAGTCAGTTGTGTGTCCTTAACTGTCGCGCTGCACTTGTCAGGTCAAAGGTCGCTTGACCTTTGACTTTCGCGTAACCTCCAGCAACCTCTCAACCTCCGAGGGTTGACTCGCACTTGCTTCGGTATTGTTTTCTTCACTTCTGGTGCGATGTTTCGACACTACTGAAGCGCTTAAGTTTCACTGTTTCCAACACTCCCCTTCGCTTCTGGAGTGTCGCTGCTGATGACGTGGCTTTGTCCAGTCAGCAGCATGTGTTAAACTGTATTATGCTTGTAGGCTGTAGTGGGGTAGCCAATATAGGGTACAACCCCAACTAGGGTTTCATATTTGTACCCAAACTTCTGCTAGTTCATTCATTCTTGCCTAGTTACTTTGAGATGGTATCAGAGCGAAGGTCTCGGGTTCGATTCCCGGTGTGTGCACTTCGGGCATCCCAGTGCGGGGGGGTGTCAGAGGTCCACTGGTGATCCCCGATTGATCCTAGGGAAGGGTTACAGGCACGGCGGCCTGGGGGGTTATGGGCGCACTCACCCGCTACACAAATAAGCCCTTTTATCCCAGTGGTTAGTGGCTGGGATTCTGACACACCCGCTACACAAACATCTCCCTCTATGATTACGCGTCTGGTGCTGCCGCTGCTCCTGCTGCCACAGCCGAGCTTAGTGTACGTTCACAGTGGCAGACTCGTGACGCTGCAGCTCGCCTGGCTATTCGCAGTCACCTGCCGTTAGCTGAGCTAGAGCACTTTGGCGACTGCAAAACCGCTAAGGCCCTATATGACGCTGTCGTTGCTCGCTACTCCTCACCTGCCACAGCCGAGCTTAGCCGTCTCATGCTGCCTTACCTGTTCCCTGACCTGTCCACCTTTGCTACAGTCGCCGATCTTATCACCCACCTTCGCACTAGTGATGCTCGCCTGCGTGCCGCCCTTCCCACCGAGTTCTGCGCTAAGAACCCCCCTCCCCTGTACTGGGCACTCCACTTCATAGTCACCCGTCTCCCTGACACCCTCAGCTCAGTGCGCGACTATTTCCTTGCTCGCTGTCCCACTGAGCTCACTGTCGCCCTCCTAGAGGAGAAGCTGCTAGCAGCCGAGAAGAGCATTGTGGCTGTTGGTGCTGCTCGCGGCGCTCCTCGCACCCCCATCTTTGAGGGGTGCTCTCCCTCTCCCCTCGCTCCCTCCTACGCTACTGCTGCTGCTGTTGACTTCCTTGGTGCTGAGTCTGCTGGCGCTGCTTCTGCTCCTGGTGGGAGGCGCCGCACCGGCAAGGGCAAGGGGGGCAAGGGTGGCGGGGGTGGCGCTGGGGGGGGAGGGGGTGGGGGAGGTGGGGGGGGAGGCGGTGCTGGAGGGAGCGGTGGCGGGAGTGCCGGTGGGAGTGGGGCCGGCGGCGGAGGCGGGGGCGGCGGCGGGAGCAGTGGCGGTGGTGGCAGCGGCGGCAGTGGCGGCGGTGGCGGCAGTGGCGGTGGCGGTGGCGGTGGTGGCGGTCGGAGCGGAGGTAGTGGCGGCGGTGGAGGTCGGAGTGGAGGCACCGGCTCGGGCCAGAGCTCCCAGCAGCAGCAGCGTCCCCAGTCGACCCAGCAGCTTCGTGAGTGGCTTGCTCAGCGTGGGACGTCGGGGGGCAGTGGCCGCTGTTCCTATGTCATTCGCACAGGTGATCGCAAGGGGCAGACGTGTGGAAAGTTCCACACTCAGTACCGCTGCTTCTTCCGCCTTGACGACGCTTGGCGTGAGGAGATGGGCGAGGATGTTGAGCGCCCTCGCTGGGCTGAGCTGATGAGGGCTGGTGTTGATATCTTTGCTCTTGACTATGATGCTATTATTGCTGCCATGTATGCATTGACTGTTAGTGCCGAGGGAGACTGTTACTTGTGTGTGCCGCCTGACCCAGGTATAGGGCCCGCTGCCCTAGGTACTAGTGAGTCTGCTCTCTCTGGTATGGTGCCCCCTGTACCTGCTCCCTCCAGCACTGTCCCTGCTGCTTGCGAGTCTGCTCTCTCAGGTACAGCACCCACAGAGACTGCTCTCTCAGGTACTGCACCGGCTGAGACCTGTCACACCTTCACCCTTGACTCAGGTGCTTCCCGCTGCTTCTTTCGTGACCGTACTGAGCTCACACCGCTTCCTGCACCGGTCCCAGTCTCCTTGGCTGACCCCTCTGGGGGCCCCGTCCTTGCACGGTCCACCACTGTGCTCCCTTGTCCGGCAGTTCCGTCTGGCTCGTTGACGGGTTTCCACCTCCCCTCGTTCTCGACGAACCTGGTGAGCAACGCTGTCATCCAGGATCAGTGGGTTGACACCTTTACCCCTGGAGGACAGCGTGTGGCGATCTGCACGTGCTCCAGGACCGGCCGTCACCTGGCTACGTTTACTCGTCGGCCGGGGTCGAGTCTCTACACACTGACCACTGCGTCTCCTCAGGTCGCTGCTGTCGGTCAGGTGTCCGCGTCAGGTCTGGTGGCCCACGCCTGTGAGTGTCGTTCCCTGTCGCACCAGACTCTTCTCTGGCACCACCGCCTGGGTCACCCCTCCTTGCCACGCCTCCGTGGCATGCACCGTCACCGCCTTGTGTCTGGTCTTCCCAGGTCCCTCCCTCCCCTCCCTGCCTCGCCTGCGCCGCCTTGCCTTCCTTGCATCGAGGGGCGGCAGCGCGCCGCTCCTCACTCCTCCTCGTTCCCCCCGACAGAGGCTCCTCTGCAGACCCTCCACCTGGACGTGTGGGGCCCAGCCCGCGTTC